GTCCACGCAAAAGGAAGAGAAGGGCGATTATAACAGTAATAATAAAAACAAGACGCTGCCTCTGGGATTCACGCCTCTGACTGGATTCTTGTCCAGACGTCAGACTAACTTCTCAGAAACATCCAGATAATTAAAGCTGACGGCCACAACATGAGCCTACAGGACTGTTGTGTTTCTGTGTTGTGCAGCACAAACACAGGAACTCGCTTGTAGAGTTGGCAGTACGGAGAAGAACACAACTAATCGCTGTTCGGAGGCTTTATAATGTAAAAGCTGAACGATTAAAACCCTGAACTGTTTAAAAACCAACTAGATTATGAGCAGAACGTGTTTCGACAAGCCGCACGACAAGTTCTGGAGATAAGCTGTAAGAGTTTGACTAGACGACATGAAGTGCTGTCGAGAAAATCAACTTTTTCTGGAGCTTCATGAGCTCACTGAGCAAACTCAATCTGCAGACGATGAGTTCGTTTTTCCTCTCTTCTCTTTCCGAGGTCAAGAATGAAGCGTCAGTCTTGGCTGCAGTAGAAGCAGCTTCTATCACAGAAAGGCGAGACTGTGAGAGTTTAAACGCAGCTCATAGCAGAACATGAACTATCTTCGCTCCTGTGCAGCTGCTGAGGGAATATTTGCAAACTAACTCGGTTTTTTAGAGTGCGTCCCCGGCGGCGGCGTGGCGCTGGAACGATAATAAAAAATCAGCGTCCCCCTGCTGCATCCCTTCCGACCCATTTCTCTGTGTGTCAGGACAGAGAGGATCAGCTATAAAGCGGTTACTGCTCGGCACGAGGCCCAGCGAGCACCCCGAGGATCAGGTCTGTTCAGTTTAGCTCGGTCTCACTCCGCTCAGGGGACACGAAGACTGAGCTCTCAAGTCAAGCTGAACAAGTGTAGCCGAAGGCGGCTTAGACACAAGGCCGAGGAGTTAAAGGCAGAGTTCGTGTGTTTATAATTGTTTTCTGTGTTGAATTGTGCGTCTAAAAGGAACACATTTCTATTTATTAACCGTCGGTGATGCTTCAGATTATTATCTTGGAGGCAGCAGTTTGAATTTGACTCGAAAAATCTCTGCCGTCCATGTTTTATACGTTTGTTTTTCTAACAGTTTGCTTTTATTTTACAGTTTGACCCAGTTTTGTTAAATTATAGTTAATAAAATCACAGAAGCTTTTATACACATGCTGACCCTTAAAGAAGCAGGTCAAAACTGTAAATAATTAAAAGTCTATCATTTGTACTGTGAAATTACATCATTTTTTACTGTATTTAATTTAGCAAAAAAAATAAATAAAAAATTGAAATATTTTACAGATATTAGCAGCTATTTAAAAGGAAAAAATATTCAGATAAAAGATTGAAAAAATCTAAATAACTATTCCATTTCTGATTTACAAAATGGTTAACAGATTTTCCTTCTTTTGTTAGCTTGCATATAAGGTAAAATCACAGAAATAAATATAGAAAATAAACATTAAAAATAAACAACCACCACCAAAAAAAACCAGCCTAAAAATAATGTGCACAGCAAAAATCTTTATAGGTGTTAGTTCTTTTACTGTAATATCACAACATTTCTTTGAAATTGTACTTAAATTCACAATATATAAATATTTTATAGATTTTTTGCTGTTATTCTATGAAAAAATACGTACATTAAGGAGTGTTGTACTGATATTTTACAGATTTTCTTTGTTTTGTTAAATTACAGATAAAATCACAGAATAAAAATTTATGTGCTGACTGTAAAAAGGAAAAAAATAAATGTTGTGCATAATGTTCACATCAAAATCAGGCCAAAGCTTTGTTGTAAACTGAAAGAAAAAGAAGTGTATTTAGAATTGAAACTTTGTAAATAATTTTAATTTGATTAACTTTTATTCAACAGATTTCCCTTGTTTTGCTAAATTACTGATAATATCTAGTAAAATCAATTTAAAAAAAAGATATTATTGTGCACATTTTCCAATTTAAAACTAAACTAAACTTTAAAAAAAGGAGCTGATATGGTACATAATGTCCACATCAAAAGTCTGAGAAGTTTTTTTTTTCTTTCTTTCTTTTTCTTTTCTTTTTTTTTTTAACATAAATTCATCGTGTATGTTTGTTTTGTTTTTTATGTTTGTTTGTTTCTGGCACCTTTGCTGCCAGATTTTCACCATTTACACCAAATAATAATAACAACAACAACAATAATCATAATAATATAACCCCGGTGCATGTTAGTGTTCGTGTTCTATTCATGTTTACGTCACAGTGGCTCAAACTGCTGAGCAGCGACACCGATCAGCGCCACGCCAGACAATGATGCTGTATTCTGTCTCACGTCTCGTGCCTCCGCCACAGCGAGCTCTTGCTCATCGGGCAGGTGACACCAGCGGAGCTAAAAGAAGCATCACAGCAAAGACAGACAGGGCATTGTGCGAATTTACAAAAGGGACACTAACCTCGACTTCCTGCGGCAACGACAGGCATCAGCGATGGAGGGAAGACAGAAAGAGAGAGTCATTGTTAGAGATCAAACAACAACAACAACAACAACAACAACAACAACAACAACAACAGAAACCTTTACAGCTTTGCTTCCATTCAGCATGCAAGCAGTGGGCTGCTTTATTACAGTTATGGCAGCAGTTAAACTGTCAGCCCTTAATGCACACTGATTGCAAATACACGCCTTCGTCTCGCTGCTCTCGGGGGACAACATGAGACATTCACAGAGGATTATGAGCGCCTATTAACCGAGGATGATCAGCTGCCACTTCTATGAGCTGGCAGGGGTCCCGATCACTGAGAGCCCATTCTCTGGCTGCGTTCACAAGCCGCTGCCAAACACACCAGCAGCCCCTGCCAGCTCAGAAAGTTGTGGATAAGCCACGACACACCGCATCAGCCTTGGAAAAACACGCGGCGAATTGGTGGGAATCTTCAAAGTCAACAGGCAGATGTGATTTAGATGGGGAGGATTTTTTTTTTTTATAGTCGCGGCGCACACATAGAGCGCATTTACTAAGCGTAGCACTGACAACACAGACAGATATAGCTTCTGTAAAGTACAACCTTGAGTTAACAGGGGAGTGACTGCTTTCCTTTCATTCCACTTCACCGTCTTGGCTTTGGTCCAAGGGCATTACACATCAATACCCACCGCAGCCGCTCCCCGCGCGTTTCATCATTCACTGCTCCGGTGTGTTTGAGAGAAATATAGCACTGCATGCTTTATTTCAGCAGCTCAACACAGTAAATATACCTAATTCTCTCTCTCTCTGCACACACACACACACACAGCCACACCTTTCTACTTAACAGCGCTGTGACAGCATCTTAATATATCACCGTGGACGATTTACAGGCCTCACAAGGACAAGCCAAAAAGCAAGAAAAAAAACAGACTGAGGCAAGAATTCATCACCGAGCCGCAGCAGGACTTCAGATTTCACCTCAGAGACTGTTTCTGAGGTAAATATTCCCCCGCAGCGGTGAAAACGTCCGGGGCGCTACATATACGAGAGGCAATATCGCCGTTTGTTATCCTCCAAATCGGCTGGATTTCTGCAATGAGTCATCCGAGGAAGAGAAACTTTCAGCACGCCGTGTGAAACACCTCCTCTGCTGCGAAGAGAGCGGAAAAAAAAGATAATTGCAAAAAGTCCTTTTTAAACCAGAATGTGCTTTTTGCAAACAGTGGGTATGAAAACGAGCATCACAGCAGCTCCACAGAACGGCTGCCGGAGCACGTCCTGCATCAGATGTAACGATCACTTAATGAATTATTTGCAGGGCTTCTTCAATTACCCGGCTCGCCGTGCTGCCAGGACCGATGGGAGCCCAGCAGCCTGTCCTAAAGGCTGGAGTGCTTATCTTCTCCCAGCAGCAGTGTGACAGCAAGGACACCCGGCCGAGGCTGCGTTTAGTCCTTCACCAAGGTTGAGAGCTAATGCTGCTCCACCGAATCCCAGCCAGGGCCGCCGCCGCCACCGCTGCTGCTGCTGCTGCTTCAGTTCACAGCCAGCCCAGACAAGAGGGAGGCAGGGATGGAGGGGAAAGATCATGGGGCAGAAGGGGGTATGATATTCATGGTGGAAATCCCCCTGAGTGATGTGATTCATATCACACACACCACCTCTTCTGCCATTTGTCAACACGGCTGTAATGCAGCTGGTGTAGAACAGAGCCAGGAGGCTAATGGAGCTTGACTATCCAGATGCTGCGACTGCTCCTCCCGGACTCCTCGCCGGTATTAGGCTGACAGCGTTTGGCCGCAAGCCTCGCTGCGCTCCTCTGAGTTAACGTCTACCTCACCCTTCCTGGGCCCCTGTCTGCCGGAGACATAAATGCCCCCTGAAAACCTGGAATCGTCCAGCGTCACCGACACCATGAACATCCCGACTCTGCGTGACAATGGCAGGGGCTGAGCTGAACTTTTGACTCCTGAACCATTTAGCTGCACGTCTGTTTCTTTGCCAGGACGTTGGTGTGCTGG